AGGCGGGGTCACAGCATCTAAGCCATGCATACACAAGCACTCGGGACAAGTCCTCTGGGCGAGTCCAGCGACATCATAGGTTTTCAAGGACAATTTTCAAATTATAACAAAATACACAATTTTAACTTTTATAATAAGGTTTATTGTGCTTGTTTCTGACAATGAGTCCTTGTGTGTGTGCTAATATCCCTTTGGAAGAAACAATACAATTGAGTGAAGATTTAATTTTTAATAACAGTTCAAATGAGTTATGTATTCCCAAATCAGTATGTTTGAAGTTACTGAAGCTTTCAACTAAGAAATTAAATGTTTTGTTTAATGATAGTCTCTATTGTTCTTTTACTTGTTTACATGGAAAACAATGGATAGAATGTTTTTTAAACATTACATTATTGAAGGTTTGTGGATGGTGCTTTTGCTGTTTTCAAGGATCCAGATCATTTTTCTCAATTTTGGAGTATTTAGATAGCAAGAAGAATAGTATTAAATGTAATGTTGAACATCATCAAGATCATCAGTTTGCATGTTTAGACACATTAGCTCAAAATAATGATAGTAACTCTGAATATAAAGTTTACCATAGAAAATATTTACTAGTTTTCATTTTAATTTTAAAAGTTACATACCAGTCTTTTTTTTTCAATTGAAAACTTGGTTATGGTTATAGTTTATTGTGTTTATAAAATCTCAAGCACCTATAAATAATGTCATAAAGTGTTTGATAAAGTCAAGAGATTCTGAGGCACAAACATTTTTTGTATCTATTTGATTGATAGAGTAATTCTTGACTAGTTGAACAAAACCATCAATAATGATGCTCTGAAAGATTCAGTTTTATAATTTTACCATATATTTGTAAATACTCTTTTTAAATAAAAAAAAACAGCAGCTTCCTTGAGTGTACCATTAGCAGTAAAGAAGTTTTAAGGAACATTTTACTGAAGGAAAAGCAGATTAGCTCATGATAGTAACATAAAGTTTACCATAGAAAAACATGTACTAGCATATATTATATATATATATATCCAATTTCTTTATATCAAACTAGTTAAGGTTTTAAGTCATGCATATATCTCAAGTAACTATGAAAGTTTGCATGAAGAGTTTGATAACATCAAGATATTCATAGGAAAATTGGTTTTACAATTTTCTTTATTTATATAGTAATTTTTGACTGCTTGAACAAATGCAACTTCACAAAACCACCAATTTAGAAAGTTCTAGAATGTATAGTTTTATAATTTTATGATATATTGGTAAATTTTTGTTCAAAAATAACTGTGCAACCTACTTTGTTGAGTGAATTTACAAGTATAACTGAGATATATTTCTAAATTTGCAATATTTCTTCAAATATGATAATAGTATTTCTATGTTGAAATCAGCATTGAATTTGTTACATTACAAAAAACTGCTGACACAAGAGAATGAACATGCAAATTTAATAAAGCCAAATAAATTAAATATATTGAAACATGTAGTAAATAAGTATGATGTAGTCATCCATTCAAATTATTTTAACAAAGGCCAATGACAAGAAAAGCCTTCATGTAAAAGAGAACTTGCTCGTTCATAAGCAATAGTTACAAAATATCCATGTCAGTTCAGCATATAATTGCTGCTTATGGTATAATCAAAAATTTTCTTTGTTTAGTTTAAGCCCAAAACTAGATAATGGGCTGTCTGCAATGTTCCAACCATGGAAAATTGAAACCTAAAACTGACATTTTTTCATATATTTATTATTACTTAGTGTACAATAGTTTTAAAATGTGCAATGTAGAATTTATATTTTGTAAGTTTGAAATTCAATAAAGCAGAATTCCTTAATGAATTTTCTATTATTGTAAACAAACCCTTTACAGATATTGCTGGTTAAGTAATACCTTAATAAATATATGAAAGACTAAAAAAACAACTGCTTTTAAAGTATTTTGCATCAGTCAGAACAAAGGTATATGAATTAAATAACTTTCAAATCTCTTATTCTCATATTTACATAAATAAGTGGATGACGTACTATTCACTAAATAGGCACCTTTGTTGGGGTAATTGCAACTGCTTGATTAAAAAAACTAGCACTATAGTAACAGTATAGATAACTAATAAGTCCTACAATTAAATGAATTCAAGGACACTTGTTCTCTTGTTTCTAACATCTTCTTTTATAAATTCAGCCTTTCTCTAGTGTAAAAGGTATGTTGGACTTATTACTAGTCTCTTTTGCAATTATCGTTACAGATGAAATATTCTTATCGAGAACAAATAATATAGAAAGGGACACCTATATAGATCCTGACAGACACGATTCTGGTGTTCCAGCTTCACCTTCTTCAGTGGAGGCACCCCTTCAACTCTCTCGTGATGACATCCAAAGATATACAAAATGTACTGAGAATACATGTGTTAGTAGTAAAGAAAGTTTCAAGGAAAATTTTACTGAAGGAAAAAACAGTAGGCTCCCAAAATTCCAAGAAAACATTTTGGAAAATCTTCCAGGTGGACAGAGGCTTTTGGGACATAACTGGTTTCTTTCGAAAGAGTCCAGAAAAAAGAATGAAAATAGAGAGGGCTTGTATAGGGCCCAGTCATGTCCAGTTATAGCAGATAAGTTTCATCAATCTGCTGGTCTCAATTATTTTGATACCAGAAGTACAGTCAATTGTGGTAGGGTTGATAGTCCTTATATGCGAAAAATGAAACTGCCTCAAAGTGAATGGATGGAGCGGACTCAGAACCGTTTAAGTTTTGGAAGCCTTGAGTGTGAACATAATGATTGGAAATACAGCAATTTTTCTTGTCCTGACATGTCAGATTTTGCCACTGGTCAGAGAAGTCAAGGGTCATCACCAGCTTCTGTTTTTTCTCCAACCCATGTCAGACGCCACATCAGGATGATACAGGTGTCCTGATCCTGATAACATTTGAAGGATTTTTAGTGTTCTTTTTATGTTTTTACCTAGTTCTCTTACTACATATCTAACTGACATCTGTGATCCAAAGTAAGAGTGCACCATGATGAGTGGTAGTTAAGCATTGTCCTAGCATTACTAGGTCACTTGCACGTGTAAGTGAACAAAGAAATAGATTGTTCAGGTTTTCTCATCTGGCCCTAGTAGCAATTAAATGTCTTGATCCAAATGTATGATGATAGTTGTCTGTTATAGAATGTTCCTTATCTTCCTACTGTGATTATTTCCAACCTTTGTTAGGTAAGGGGCAGGTTCCTCTTTATATTGTTTTTCCCATAAAGCATTAGTTGAAGAATAGATGTTGATGTCTTGTAATTTTGTTAGCAGTTTTATCATTTATTCCCACATTTGTTGTTTATGGAACATTTATCAATTATTAATTGACCTTTATCTCTTGTTTTAAGACTGAGGAGATAGAAAATTAATGTTGATCTTTATGACTTGACAGTACCTGATTTGACCAATTTAATCAAACATTAAATATTTGGTCATTTCAAATTATTAGCCACACAAAATTTAGTATTTTCAACTTGGAAGAATAGCTAGATAAATTTATCTTTAGCACGTCACTTTTGATATACAAGGAACAGTAGTAGTAAATAGCCACATATGTAGTTTTCTTGAATAGAATTTTTTAAAAAAAGCATTAAAATATGTACTTGTTTTAGAGTATAAATAATTACATTTTTAGAATAAATATGGATATTATCAGATATATTTTACGTTTACACAACATAATCTTTCTTTACTGTTTTGTGTTTTATCAAACAATTTATTAATGGATCTGTATGTGTTTTTGTTTTCATTATTTTCTCTATTTTTTGGACTTTTACTTTTATTATAGCGTATTAATTAAATTGGTTTCTGTCCGTATTTAAGAATTGCACATTCGTAATAAGCAGGTTCTAGAAACACAAAACGCTTAATGTAATCGTTTGCGAGTGAAGAATTCTATTGGGGATCATTTGGAGTTGAACTACGTCGATAAGTGTGTGATTAGCAAGAGAGACACGTGGAATAACGTGGGTGTTAACTTACACATCAAGGATTTGTTGTTTTTTTATTGCGTTTTCCCTGGCTTTTAAAAGTGATTTATTTGTATAACAAGTAGAAAAGGGTACAAACAAAGATCACGTACAGAATATTGACGCTTTCGTGTGAACTATATAGCAGGATATTAAGATTTACTGATGTGATCATTAGGTTTTCTGTACTTAACACACCAGTAAAGTTGTTAACGTGTACAGTCGAACTTTTGGTTAATTTAAATAATTCTATATTGTTGTGAAACATGCGTGACACCAATAAATATTTATGTTGATTTAGTATTTTTGGAAAACAAATATCATCTGTATTGAGAAGCATCTTCAGATGTCATCATGGCGTATTTTAAGGACCGTTGACTTTGTAATATATTAAACTAAATTAGTTACGTCATTCAGCTATATAAATGTAAAGGAGATCAGTTTTAATCAAGAAAAAAAGTTACTTTTAATCTATAACACATTCTAATTTATTATGATATAGTGGCATGTTCGTTTAAGTTCTTATTAAAGCAGTGGACATTTACAGGAAATAAATTAAAAATGCATTCAAAATGACAGCAGAAAGAAAGTGCTTCTCCCTTTAAATTTCATCTAAAAAACGTTTTAAATTTCACGTCTTGTGAACAAAAATCAAATGAAGCGTTTTCGTCACAGAAATGAAAGGTAGGTAAGTTTAGTCCAAGTGTGTAAAACCTCATCCAGTTGAATTATAAAAATTATCTAAGGTTTTTAGCATTTGTCATTTTTTATTGTAATTAAATGTATCGTAAATTTATTGTAACTGTGGCATGTTCTGTGTACAGGTGTATACACGTCAGTTCTGGCCAGGATACGTAAATGTTATTTACTTACCTTGTTCTTCGAACCAATTGTGATTTTGACGGATGTTTATGTTCATTCGTATGGAGTGTGAGTAACCATTGTTGAACTCGTAAAATTTCATTAATTAGTTCCTATGTTGTCATATACTGGATTGTTAAGTCTTAAAACTTGAAGTGTAAATTTTTGATAATATTAAGTATAATATCGGTCGTTGAAAAACGTATTCACAGAGTGTCGGAATTAAGATTTTAGGTGCAAATAAATGTGTATTTTAATAGTGTTTTCAAACCACATTACGTAATAAAAGAAACTAGGAAATTAGAGTATTGTGTAATGGGATGTTTTTTGAACATCAACCATGTTATTTGATAGAAATTAGTTGCAAATAAATGCACATAAAGTCTTATGGACATTATTTTTAGTCACCCATACTGTATCATAGAAGAAGGTTTCAAAACGTCATCACGTTCTAGTAACATTTTTTTATCTCTTTCGCTTTGATCTAATAGACATGTAATGTATGTAATCTATTTATTCCTCTCCTTCCCCTAAAAAATCCACCACCACCAACATTGTCACGAAATAATTTTTTAGCTCAAAGTACATTTTTATAAAGTTTTTTGGACTGTTTATTTCATTTGTAAATCATTTGCATTCTGTATTGGAAGAAACTAGATGCAAATAAATGATTGCATAATTGTGATTTTTTATTGTCACTTACATTATGTGACGTAGGTTATAAAAAAATGTATGTAATCTGTTGGACGTTTTTTTTTATCATCTTGTCTTAGTCAAAATACAGTACTCGAAGAAGTGGTCAATATCTTACAAGAATACTAAAGAAAAACAGTCGGTTGGCTTCTATTGGATCCTATTCTTTTCACTTAACCTGACGGGGAAAGCTGTATGTAACAATTCTACCTCTAGCATTTGGAACGAAACTATTTTGAATATACTAGTCTAGTACCAGTTTCATATTCAAAGTACACATTCTTTGAAGTAACGTAAATGTACACACGAACAATCAATATAATATAATATGTACAGGTATAAGAAAGAAGTAGTCACATTTTGAGAATAAAACTGACTAAAAGGGAGATTGACAGACCTATTCATTTTTGACTATTGGTTTTCGCATATGTATGTGAACACTAAAATGGATTTGTTAAAAATGTATACAGTATTTATATAATATTCCAGTCATAAAAGCTAAAGAATTCCACAACTGTGATCTAAAGATGGCGTGAAAAAAACACAGAATAATAAAGCATCAAATGAGGAAATACCTATCGTACACTTAATTTTTTCTTGTACACTCTTTCCGTGGAAATACTGATGTTTAACAAAGTGTCTTGAAGATGACTGATATGGAAGACGTATACTGCCAGCAAGTAGCACTGGTGTGACTATTGTTCATGAAAACATAGCCGCAAATAGTCAGTTATCAAATATGTATAGTCTAAATATTTTATAGAAATTATTTCTATTACTTGTAAGAGTGCAGATGCATTTTAGAATGACTGAAAAAATACGCTTAAAAATGCTTTCACTGATAATTTTAGTATGTGGTATATTAATGTAGTTTTGGTTTCATTCTTGAAAAACCTGAACTATTACGTAACAGAATGCTTATTTTGGAGTTTTCGTAGGACCAGTTTGATGTGAAAATGTTGTCCGTCCTTTGAAAAAGACATGATATTCCGTTATCCTCCCCAAAAGTGGCCCAGTGGTAAGTCTGAGGGCTCACACAGCTAAAATCCGGTTTTCGATACTCTTGGTGGTCACAGCATAGATAACCCATTGTGTAGCTTTGTGCTTAACAACAAAATATTCTTATTCGGTTTGAACTCTAATTACATTTTTGATACTTATTGATTGAGCTCATGTCTTGATATGATATTGGAGATCTTTAGGTTTTACCATTAGAGCGCGTCAGATTGCTGACATCATAAATTTGTATTTTCGTGGTCAGGTCGCGTCATGTATTTAAGGTCTGTATAATCCGCATCAAGTTTATTAAGTCTAATGTGTGAACATTGTGAATGATAGGGCTTCTATTATACTTGATATTTTCGACGGGTGGATTCAGTATACATACATTGATTTAAACTAAGATCCTAAGCTGGTACGCACAGACTTGAAAGAAACGATGATATCAAGTTGTTACACACAAGATCATCAAACCCCGAAGATTTAAAAATTTCACCTTTACCTCAAGCATTTTAGTTTCACTCATAAGTGCATAGCTTCTTCTGATCGGAAGTTAATATTATTGCGTCAGCGAGGTCACGTGACTAGTGTCACGCCACCTGCTTTCTAGAACTATCCCGTTTCTTCGGGAGTGCTCTAGCATTTACCAGATATATGTTTGTCTGATATATATATATATATATAAGACGCTCACAACGTGACGGAATAATGTTTGTAGGTAGTGAGTAATTGAACTGCAGTCAGAAAGTATTGTTGATGTTAACGTTCGTTGTTACAGAGCGACTGTTGAAAATAAGTGTATCGGTAAAGTTATATTAAGTAAGGACTTGTGTCGCTAAAGTTTCGTCGAAACGAATTTTCAGAAAATCAGTTAACAAACGGAGACGTAACAATATTGACAACTCCTTGATTTGCCCGAGATAACTCGGATACCATCCATGTTTCAAAAGATATTTGCCTGAGTTAATGCGGCCAAACCATTTCTTGCGTATTTTTAATTATTTGCACGAATATATTTGTATGTTATCATATATTACAGTCCGTACTCGCTGAGGCCTATGAGATTTATCCTCAAGTATGTATCATAAACTCTGAAGAAAACTATTCCTGTTCTTTTCTGTGCTTTCATTGAAATAATAAATATATCGCGTGTAAATCCAAATACGTAACATTTATGTATTAACTATATTTGTACGGAAACATTGTAATGGATCATAAAAGAACTTTAGTTCATTAATACTTAAGTGTAGGCCATCAAAAAGTAAAATAAAAAACTAACTTTTAGGAGCTCATTTCCAAAATATGCTTGAAATGGAAGACGCTGCATCAGCTGTGAAACACATTGCTAAAGAAACAGAGACGGCGTTCCGTTCAAAATCCCATGCGACAACGTTATGAAGTGTGTTAAGCCTCGGCATCCATATACGTACTATTAAAGCGGAAATCTTATCTTATTATATTCGTGCAATCACTCAAAATACATGGGACAAGTAGGTGGGCTGTTGAAGAATAGGTTTGTTTTTATTGTAATGCGATTCGAAACCAATAATTTCTCTTTAATCGTTAGAATACATCCATACACACGAGCAGCGTTGATCTATTGTGAATAAAACGAGTTATGGAATATTCAACCTGATGTTGTGGATCGTACTAGGCATAAACATCATATTATCGGCCAAATAAATATATAATGTCCATTATATTATGAGACCAACCAATTTAATGTCTGAAGCGAGAGAGAACAACATTCGTGTAGTATGTCTGTTTATATTCCCCTTATTTTTCCTATTTAACTAGATCTTCGTGGATTTGTGAAAGTAATCGACATCTTTAGCCGCGGCTCATCTCTTGACTGATTTGAGATTTAATTACAGTTTTGGACTCAGGTGGTCAAACCCTTTCGATTGATGTTTCTGACCACGCCAAAGTTCCCATTGATTAATTTACTCTAATCCTACCTAAAAGAGTTTCAATTTGAGGGTAGTTTGGTAAAGACCTGATGAGTAATAAAATCGAATCGTACATCCCACGTTTGGTATTGCTGGCGTACAAAAATGTAGTCAATAAAAATGAAAAAAGGTCTCGTACATTAATTTTCCCTAATTCTGCCTAAAAGAATTAATAAGTGCCGCGGCTATTGAGGATTCTCTTTTGTTTGTATAATATAGTGTAACTTTAATGAATTTGTGTTCGAACGAAGTGTAACAGGGCATTCGAGAACTGTTTCTTCCCCTCTCCTACAGGGCTCCCTCTGAGATGATTTCCCGCCCTTTCACTGGGCCGGGCTGTAAGTCAGTACTTATTTAAGAATTGATTTATCGTTTCGCACATATTGATATATTTTTCGTGTCGTAATGAGAGGGAGAAATACCTCACGAAGAAGTACATAACAAATCCCCTGATACTTATTCTTTATACAGTTCACTATCTTATCTGGACAATGCAGCGTCGTACTGATACTGTGAACTCAAGGTCATTTGCCTCTCAACTTGTGTAGTATAAGTTAAATAGCGTTCTGCTTAGTTCTCCAATGTTCAAGTGCGATCATGTGAACCAATAAAAAAAAAGTCAACCTTGAAAGTTTTTCTGTACTTAGTTCTTTTCAAATATTTTAGTGAATTGTTAAGGAATTACGGACAGATTTGTTGTTCTTTATTCCTTATTCTTAACACCTTAGTTTTGTTTCACTGGAATATCAGGCTGTTATTTCTTCAGCCGGTTTCGTGACTTCAGAGGTCACTCTTCAGGATATAATTTTACTGAAAAATCTAGATTGAATACATATACTTTTCGAATATACAAACATATAATACACTCCACTTGTAAATTAACTACGTTCAAAATAAAGTTAGTAAATGTACTTTCCTTTTTAAAGTAAAATCCCGTTGTAATTATACTTTCTCTTATTATTATAGAAATGTATAATTTATTTATTCTATAATTTCACACTCTTACTTACCTTTTTTGTCTTTTCTGATAAGTCTTAACAGTTTGCACGGTTTCGCAATTCTTACTGACGTTACACAAACGGATACTTATGCCCCTTTACTACTATCTATTAAAGGGGAGCTAAAAATTTACAAAATATTTATTTCAAAAATAATATTTTATGTTTTACATTACATATCCGAAAAAGGGGGAAAATATGGTTATTTTAAATTTCTCGAAATACATTCATTAAAATGTTTGCTGGTAAATAATGGACTTTTTCGAGACACTAATATAGAATTTATGTAAATTTATCCTTAATCTTAAATTATCTGTTTCCCTAATATATAATTCACCACAATTGACATATTGTAAAAGATAAAATACGTTCTTATAATTGCAATGAAATAAGTTATTAATGAAAAACAAAATTTCTTTATTATTATCTATGTTGTTTTGGTAGTTTTTATATAACCTAAATTATATAAAGTAACTGAAAATACCTTCTTTAGAAAAATCTCTTTCTTAATGTTCATTAAATAATCTATACACATTTTTGGGTTGACTTCTTGATAAACCCCCAGTGGCACAGCGGTACGTCTGCGGACTTGCAACGCTAGAAACCGGGTTTCGATACTCGTGGTGGGCAGAGCACAGAATGACCATTGTGTAGCTTTGTGCTTAATTACAAACAGACTTCTAAATAAAATAATTTTATATCATTTTTATTATTTATCGATATATATATTTGAGTCACAACAAAAAGTATAATATCTCTTTAAGTTCACTAATCTCTTTTTAATATTTTTTATTTAAAACGTTCTTAACAATTTCAAAACCTTTTAATAACTGTTACGTCTCTGGTCGATTGTTATTTTCCCATAAAAATTCCTTCTGAAAAACTTCAGCTATGCAAGTCCTTTCTTAAATAAAACTAGTTTATTCTTTCTCAATTCAACTTTGCAATACACTTAGTTTCCACATTCAATTTAACTTAACTGATTTTATAAAAACACGTTATAATTCACAGGGAACAATTCACGCACTTACTTACTACCGCGCTTG